TGTATATCTACCTAGTGAATTCAAGGTCACCTTGAGCTGCATAGCAAGATCCTGTCTCAGAAAATCAAAACCAAAAACCCCCTACCCAAACCAAAAACTAAAATGAAACAACTGAAACTAAAACTAACCCCCCCACCCAAACCTAAACTTAAAACTAAACAACTAAAACTAAACAATAACAGAAAAATTTAGTTTAGGATTATTGTGTGCATGTTGTGAGATTTAAAAAAAACCTGTTTGTTTGGAAGTGGGCTGTGTTCAGGTCTGGGCACATCTTTGGGATAGATGGGATAATGAGGCCCTTAGGAGGTGGGCACCCCAAGCAGAGAGAGTAAAGCCTCTGCCTGAACCGATCACTCAGTGTCTTCCATCCAGGCAGAGAACAGTGTCACCTCCCTCACAGTGTTGTTGTCAGGGCTCAGTGATTTATTGTATTTGAAACACATTAAGTTCTGCTTTAAGTTGGTTGGTTTCTGAAATTTTTGTACATGTATGTATTGTATTTGAGTGTATCTGCCTCCCCTTCTCAACTTCCCCCCTTCCTCCTCCCCACTCCCATTTGTCCTCTTTGTTTCCCAGACAAGTTCACTTCTACGACTAGATAAAATTTAAGAGCTGTGGATCTCTGTGAGTTCAAGGCCAGCCTGGTCTACATAGTGAGTTCCAGGACAGCTCAAGCTACAGGGAGACCCTGTCTCAAAAAGAACAAAAAAAAAAAAAAAAAAAAAAAAAAAAAAAAAAAAAAATTTAAGAGCCACAAATGAGGTGTTTTTGAAGGGACTTTAGAGAAAAACAGCAAGGTTGGTAGACTGCTTGGAGCCAGGACATGGAAGAGGCAGTGGAAGGACCTGGAGAACAGCTTACTGGGAGTTGTCATTTAAAGGGATATCTCATGGAGGAAGGAATGGCCTTTCTGTGTTATTGAAGAAGATAGAACTGGATCAGTGGGTGGAAATGTAGGAACTGATATACCTTATTTTATGGAAAGGCTTTATAAGCAGTAGAGCTGTTCAGAGTTACAATGGTTGCCTTGTAAGCCATGAGCTTTGCACTGCACAGAGGCAGTGCTGGCTGACCTAGGCATCTGACCTGGCTAGTAGGGTGAGTGGGATGGCAAAGTGTTCTCTTCTTTCTTGCTTTCAGGTTGGGTGATTGGCTTGAAGCAACCAGAAGTTGCTGAGCTTGCTAGCATTAAAAAACTTTATCCCTAGAACTATGTTCAGTTTCATGCTTTTCTAGTCTATCATTTATTTATTTATTTTGTAAGTATCATCTGAGGCCTTGTCCTTAAGGGCTCATTTTGCAGAAAACTTAGCTTGGGATTGAATCTTTGTGGCCTATTCTTGCTTGGCACCACGCCACAGTTCAATCCTTGAAGGACCTCAGTGACAGGTTTCATTAGTGTTAGGACACAATTCTCTTGGGGTCTGACATGTTTCTGAAGTCCTTTGAGTAAAAGACCTGTTGCCTTAGTCTATATTATCAAAGATGTTTGTTTAGCAGTAAGCCTTAGAAGATACAGTTTGTTCATCCAGCTCAAAGGGCAGGTGTGTTTCCCGCCCAGTATAAATTATTCGGCTTTCTAGGCTCAGGATTCCTTTGGGATCCTTACTTGTGTGGGGCCAGTATCCATTTGTGCCCCTCTGCCTACTCTGCATGGGACTTTGTTGAGGAGGACCTGACATAGATGTGCTGATGCTCTGCTGCTTGCTGGACCTTGAGTAAGAAAGGCTATGGTTCCCCTGGCAGACTAGTGTTAGGTTGCAACTAGGATAAAACCTCAGCCTCTTCACAGTTATTGGCATTAAGGAAGGAGGAAGCAGAGAGGCTAATTTCATCTCGTAAGCTAAATGATCTAGAGTTTGGAGATGAGAGGATTTGAACCTCTGTCTTTAGAAGAAGCATTTTCCATTTTAGTGCAGAAAAAAGCTACTGCCTCTGCTGCCCTCATCTGAGAAGCTCCAAAATCCCAAACCTTTTGAGCACTGGCTTGATACAACAACTAGAAATTTCTATACTATGAAACTTTTCCATGCACAAAATTACTAAAAATATTATATAAATAACCTTCTGCCTATGCATATAAAGTTTATGAAACACAAGTTTTATGTTTAGATTTGAGTGCCATACGTAACACACTCTCATTATACATTTCAGATAGTCTACAATCTGAAGAAATTTAAAATCCAAAGCACTTGTGGTCCCAAGCAGTTTGGAGAATGGACACCCATGCTGTGCTATTGCTCCTGTTACTGTCAACATTTGCTGACTGATAATGATACATGAGACCTTGCTTGATCTCTTTTAGTAATTCCCAATTATCCTATAAGGAAGATGTTACCATGTCCACTTTATAGATGAACAAAGTAAGATGCCATTCCTGAGGTTCTGTGGGTGGTAAATATGTTGGGTCAAGGAGTCTGCCCACGCACTTGACTCCAGAGCCCACTCTGCATGTAGCTCAAAGCATAATCTATAAACAGTTCACCTGGGTTTTCGATCCTTGTAGGATTTCTTGTTCTCATTGTGTGAGGTGGGGAAAATTAATTTAATCTTGTCTAGACTCAGCTGCTCCCACTGTGAAAAAGGGGCTGGGATAACAACAGGCCCCATTCCAATGGGAGTGAACACATGCTATAAAATGCTCACCACAGCTAATGTCTGGCAGCTTGTAAGCCTCTTTAAATTTTAGAGGCTTTTATTATTTTTATTATCTGCTTTTTCTCTAACAGTAAAAAAAAAAAACCAACACCAACCAAACAAAAAACCCCCTGTATTTTGTGTTCTCAGAGTTCTGAAATGTGTTTTTGACTAAAGACAAAATGACATTTATCCCAGGTTATATCAAGAGGAAGAGGATGAATTTCCAGTGTGAGTCAAGCCTGGCACAGGATATTTCTTATCTAAATATTTCCTCTGAAAATGAAAAATAGGAGAAGGATTCCCCTGTGGATGCAGTCACTCCTTGGTCTTCATTTTGGTAGCCCTGTGTTTCCTAAGTAGTTCCTAACGATCTAGTAATGTGTTGTGGTGACAGCTCATGCTGGAGAGGGTGTCCTCTCTGGGCCTGACATTTTCTTGAATGGTAATTTTGACTGGTTAAGGTAAACAGTGTGAGATGTTTAGTGAGAGTCCTTCCACCTACGGCAGTGGAGGGGAAATTGTGGAAGGCACTGCAAAGATGGCAGGCTCATGCTGTGTAGCTCTGCTGTTAAGAGAGGAAGCGGTAGAGTTAAATATCCAGGAACTCTTACCTGTGGAACATTTGACAAATTGAAGACATTTTCTGATTGTGCTTTAGTTTAGATTAACAACCTGGAAGGTTTCAGATTTAAAGAGCAAAGTTATATATCATAAAAACAACAGAGAGACATGCTAAGCTACTCTGAACCCAAATATTACAAGTGATTCCTTTGGAATCAAGTCGATTTACTTTAATAGTGAACTACTTGTGTGTTCTCTACCTGAAAATAACCTTGGAGTAGTCTGTTCTAGGATCAGTGGTTTATAGTAAGGAAATCTGCCCTTCATTTAGCTGCTGGCACCATTGCTTTCCTGAGGAACCCATTCTGTCCTTTGTGGCTTTTGCCTTTCCTTCATTACCTACTATTGCTCCTATTTCACGCAACGCTTGCTCTCCTGGCATCCCTAGCACATTTACAAAATTCACTTTGGAGGTTCCGTTGAAGTCTCAGACAGGCCTCCTGAGTTCCCCTCTAAATTGAAAAGGAAGTTTTATGTATTGCGTGGCTCATGAATTAAGACCCATTGCTCTGAATGACAGTTTGGAGAAGACGTTTGTACAGTATTTTGCTTGCAAGTATCTGGAAGTGGATATGTGATTGATTTGCTGACAGATCATCTCTGAAAGCATTTGTAATGATGGACTTATAATTGATTGCATCCATCACTGAGAGCCTAAAATATCCCCCTCCCTAAATTAAAAAAGATAAATGAAATAAACTAGGCTGAATGTATAAGTTGACAAATCTGATAGAATTTAATGAAACTAAATTACCACAGCGAACAGATGAAAGGAAAAGGTTTCTTTATTACTTATTATAATACTAAATTAAAAAAAATTATCCAAGAAAGATAATAGAGGAAACAAAGATCTGTGGCCCATGTATCAAACTGAGTTATTGAAAGATTTTTTAATAAGTGTGTCTGTCTCATTGTCTGGTTATTGTTGATTCCTATCAATTCTGTTAGTTCTGTTTGAAGAACAGTGAATGCAAGGACTGTCTTGTAGTGCAGCTTAGGTTATTGCTGTTGTAACAGATTTTAGAATTAACATGACCTTATTTCCAGGCTGCTGGGAACTCTACCAAATTCAGGTCATTCATATGAGCTCTTTAGAAGATGGTTCTTTAGTGTGAGTAATTTTATCCCTTAGTATACTAAAGCTACATATGAAAGATGACCATGGGAAGTACGTTAAACAATGTATTATCTCCCCTAACAAGAAGCTTCTTTTTATGACCCACTGACATGGCTATAGTAGTTTGCATTTTTCCTTTCCTTTCCCTTCCTGGGATGATTAAAGTGTTGACTCAGCTTTGTGTATCAGTATCCTGGGTGGGGAGAGGGACTTTTTTCCTGTTATTTTTCTCACAAGAAAATGACTCCTAGAAGTTCTGTAGGTCTCATTGGCCAGAATTACTTCTGATAAGAAGAATGGACTAATAGGAATTATTATGATTCATACAAATCAAGTGCTGCGCTCAGCCTCTCAAAACTATGCCCGTCTGCTATCTGATTAAATCTTTTCAAAAGTCAAGGGAGCAAGGTGAAGGTTGGGCTCCTTGGCTAGGCAGCCAACCATGCACTCAGATGGTTGACTGGAATTAACCTTGAAGGTGATTTTATATTTCCTATTATCAGCCTACTTCATTTCCTAGTTAGTAAGATAGATGCATGTGCTAGCATATCAACGGGACACCTTTCTTTTGATTTTTGCTTTTAAGTTTCATTCAACTTCATATCTCTATCTTTGCTAGGACTCTGTCTACCAGCGATGATGTTGAAGACAGAGAAAATGAGAAGGGTCGTCTTGAAGAAGCCTATGAGAAATGTGACCGTGACCTGGATGAATTGATCGTGCAGCACTACACAGAATTGACAACAGCCATTCGCACATACCAGAGCATCACAGAGCGCATTACTAACTCCCGAAATAAAATAAAGCAGGTGAGCCTCCTTTCTTGTCTGGTGATGGTGGCCCCTCCCCTTAGTACAGGTGTTGTGTCTTGGAGCTGGGCAGTGGTAACGGCTGGTGGTGCTTGACGAGCTTTTCCTAACGGCAGTTTCTGGAATTTTGCAGGTGTCTGGAAAGCCTGGTTGAGGCAAACTACAGAAGGGTGTCCTGGGCTGGCTTCTTCCTTTCTCTGTCTCATCTTTGGCTTCTGCTGTTACTTTTCACTGCAGGGTGACATGGCATAAGGAAGATGTCCTTAATTTGAGTATACTGAAAGGAATCTGAAGCAAAGAGGAGTTCTGTTCAGACTGCAGGGCCTTTTACTGTTAGAGTCTAATATCACCGTCTCACAGTTAATTGAATGTGTGTATATTCACGGGTGTGTGTGTGTGTGTAAAATAAAATGTAAAGTACAAATTATATAAACATGGAATGAAAATGTTTATGAAAACCAGAGTTCTTGAGTTATGTTTAGTTTTGTTGAGCTGGTGTTGGTTTTTGTTTTGTGATTTTCTTTTTGTGGTCTGGAGCTTTTTTTTTTTGTTCACTTTTTCTTTTTTCCCTTCTCCTCCCTCATCTTGCTCTCTTTTTTTTTCTCTGTTACCTTCCCACACACTTCCCTCCCTCCCTTTTGTTGTAAGGTCTTGAAAAGCCCTTGGTTCCTGGGTACCCTGTCTGTAGTACCTAAAAGATATAGTGTTTTTTTTTTTTCGGTCTTTTTGAGACAGGGTCTCCCTGTAGCCCTAGCTGTCCTGGAACTCACTATGTAGACCAGGCTGGCCTTGAACTCACAGAGATCCACCTGCCTCTGCCTTCCGAGTGCTGGGATTAAAGGCGTGCGCCACCACGCCCGCCAAGAGGTAGTTTTTTATTTGGCCAAAGGGATAAAAAAGGCTGTATACTATCACATCATATTTTTGTGGTTCTTAGCTATATATTTTGATTTTAAAATTATGTGTGTGTGTATAGTATATGCATGTGTTCACACATGTGTACAGCTGTGCATATATACGTGTGCTTGTGGAGGCCAGGGGTTGACATTGGGTATCTTCTTGAGTTGCTCACTGGCATTACAGACGTGTGTTGCCATGTCTGGCTTTTATGTGGGTGCTGGGGATCTGAACTTGGCTTCTCATGCTTATTTGGCAAGCACTGCCCACTTAGCCATCTCCCCAGACCCTTGACTGTGCATTTTGATGATTACTCCTATGATACTTTTTTTTCTTTTTTGCTGTTTTGTGGTAAGTACCAGTACTTGCTACCTGTACTGAACACTGATTATTTATTTATTTATTTACTTACTTACTTACTTACTTTTTCAGGTCAGATTGTGCCTGTGTTGTCTCAGCAGATTTATAATGTGAGCTCTAGTTCTTCACTATGAAACCTTTGCTGTATTTTTCAGTACTTTTTTTTTTTTTCAAGAAATATTCTTCCTTCTTTAAAAAACAACAAATATATGTTGCACAACACCAACATACCAGACACCAAGAGGGCTCGTGCCTTCTGCTTACATTGTATTGGGCTGAGGAGTACAGAGCAACATGCTTGACACCTTCCTTAATCCTTTGCAGCTGCCCCTCAAGGACCTTTGGGAGACAATGCACTGTGTAGACTCCGGTTTATATTCACTGCCTGCACGATGAGCTCATGGAGAACTCCCTGACCTGTGCCCAGCCAGGAATGCTTGGACTCATGACATTGTCACACGCTTTATTTCTTGTCCTCAAGACCTTCTATTATGATTTTATATTAAGCAATACATAAATTATACTTCTTAGAACGCTGTGGATATGAGTTTCGGCTTCTCAGAGTCCATTTGTAGAACGAGTAAGCTCTTCATCATTCTTGAAGTAGTCTACTGACCTCTTTACATTTTAAAAATAGTTGGGAAAATTTGAAAGGAATATTGTAATTCTTAGCTTTTAGAAATGGTAAGTTCCTTCTATGGATTTATCTATGAAACCAGGTAAAGCTATAGATCATTTGCTCGAGACTTAAAGTAAACTCTGTTGTTCATTTTGACAATATACTAAGCTCAAGAGGGGTCAGAAAATGAATTTATAGAGCTGCTGACCTTCTGACTTTGCTGTGGGTTATCACAGCAAGGGTTGAGGGACCTTTTGGTGTTTGTGTTTTCTGATTAGTTTGGTTGACTGAAAGGACTTCGCCCTAATCTCAAGGGAGGCATCAACAGCGATTTCTGCTTTGCTCCCTACCACTCAGAGTCAATAGCATCTTTGCTACAAACACAGTATCTGTCTGGTCGTTGTGGTACTGAAAATGAGGGCCTCATCTTGATGATCTTGCATTTGTTTTAGAAGCCACACTCTATTTACCATTCTTATTTTCAATATACGAGGGTCTGAGCAAAAGAAAACAAACCAAAGAAACTTTTATTATACCAGACAGTTTGCCCAGAAAGTAAATGTCACAAAATTCAATGTTATGAATTAGCATCAGTATTTGGGAAAGCATTAAAGGGTGAAAGCTCTTTGCAAAGAAGCCTTTAATAATTGATTAATGAGAAGGGAAAAATGTTGGGGGAAAATGAAATGTTCAAATACTTGAACCTATGGGGGACATTTCTCCTTCAAACCATCACAGTCAGGGAAGGCTAGTATGTGAACGTGGTGAGAAAGAGGGTCTGGAGGGGACTTTGAGGGTGGAGGAATAACAGGTGCAAAGGTCCCGAGGTAGGGTGATATTCGGAAGTTCAGAGAGGCAGCAAGAGGGCCAGTGAGGAGACACAGTGAGCAGTAGGAAGAGTGACAGAGAGTGATCAGAGCGCTTATGTGGAGGGGTGACTCAGGGGCCCTGGCCCCATAGGGTCTGGCAGGTCATTAGAAGGACTCTGATTTTAACGCATGAACTGATGTACACTTAACTGTTTCTGATGATTCAACAATGTATACACTATACTATAATTCTTAGCCTTTAGAAGTGGCAGTGTTTTCAGCCTAGGAACAACATAATGTGACTAATATTTTAGCAAACATATTGTAGCTAATAGTCTAGGAATAGATGTTATTGTGGAGCATGGCGATAAAGATGTGTTCTTGTTTCTCTATCACTCCCCATTTTGACATCACTTCCATATATCCATTTAGGTTATTTTATTTGAATCTATGGCCTTGAGGATAAATATTTGCTGACAGGTAGCTCTGACTTTCTTCCCAGATGGTCTGAACCTTTTATTATTGATCAAGTCCATTTGGAAATATTTCAAGACTAAAATAAATCATTGTAAATGAAGTACTATGTATGGCTGATCAGGTCAAGTAATGTGGATAACAATGTGGTGAGCCTCATGTGGATGAGCCTGTTGTTTTCAAGTATACTGTAAAATTGCTCAAAATGAGATATTGCCACATTAGGAAGCCTGAGAACCCATAGCTTCTACCAGTTTCATGACTGTTTCAGTGGTGGCATTGGAGTAGATTATTAGTTGATACAGGTTGGAGGCCTGCTCTATATATGTGATGTTTGTTAATATTGAAATTTGACTGTTTCTTCGCAGTACATGAGAGAAATTAGAGGAACTCACACAAATTTCTTTGGTCTATCTAAGTAGTCAGTGTGATGCTGTCAGGAGGGAGAGGCTAAGAGTGTACTTTCTATTGTGGTATACACAAGCACTTAACATTTTATCCCATTTTTGGCTGTTCTCTTGGTATTAGATCCAGTTCTAAAATGTGTTTTTCTTATGAATAGATAGAAAAAGCTATGCATAATTATTCAAGTAAAGTTGTTGGGGCTTCATTATTCAAGAATGCAACATTCATTACTTAACATTTACCTAAAGTGACTTTTTGGCTTTTATATGAAAGTATGCTGTGAAAGGTAGAATTAGAATGAAGAATAGCCCTAATTAATACAAAGACTGTCATGGGAGAACAATGTGGTCTTTGTAGAATGTTATTTACAGCCTAGATGTGAGTGGAAATTCTGAACTGTTTGCATGATAAAGGAAAAAAAGCCTCAGGTTTCTAGAAACAGACATGCTAAATAGTGACCAGTAATGAGAGTCTTAGTTTAGAAGCTGGACAGTGGTCTGGAGTGCACTAATGTAGTCGAAAGAACCAGGAGGCAATCTTTTCCTGAAGTTCAAGGGTTTCTGATCTGTGTACTGCTACCTGCACCCAGCAGCTCTGAAGGAAGGTATTGCGCTTGGAATGGGTTGAGGGGAGACTCAGAGAACTTAAAGCCTTAGAATGAAAGCTGAAAATACTAACAGGGAGGAAAAAGTATGGGAAGTAGAAATGTGAGGGTGATTCAAAAGTGATCTATAGTTCCAAAGGGCTTTTAAACAGACCTGTGAGTGGTATTTCTCAAGTTCACTTTTTCTAGGCACTTTCTATAAAACTGTGGAAAAAATTGGCTTGGGTACTCCAGGCAGGCAGGTCCGTATGGAAGCTCTTAGATGTAGATTTGCTTCTTTTATCAAAAAGAGGGATGTAACAATAATTTGTACTTGTAATAATTAAGGGTAACGATGTATTAATTGTCAGTAACCTTCTCTTGCTCATAGGGACTTTACAGAATCTTCTGGTCCCCAGGTGCCAAGAGCTGATTGTACATTTGCTGTGCCTCCTCACAGATAATAAGCACTCCATTTCTCTCTCTTTATTTCTTTTGATCTGGATTCAGTACTTTTTTGCTTTTGTGACTTAAAGGTTGTAGCCTCCCAGTGTTTTTCTGGGCGGTACCCATGCGTTCTTCTGAAGTGCACCTCTCCTACTCCTTTTATACAAGCTGAGCAGGGTTTGTAAAAAAAAAAAACCCAGTTAGTTTTCCCCATTTCTTTGTTTTTCCCAAGGTTGGGTTGAAAAAGTTGCTACTTCTCTGCCATCTGTATCATCTTTCCTTTCTTTAAATAGCCTCTTGAGTGCTGCTTTTTATTTTCTTCTTTTCTGCTGGTCTCTAATTAGAGTGACTTGCAGTTTTTATATGTTTAACCCGAAGTTCTCGGTATTGCTGAACAGACGATTTG